CTGTGTTTTTGTTTTGCTTTAAGCAAACATTAGAAAAGAAGTTTTTTTCAAAAAAAAAACTTTCCCCATGAATCATTTGGTGCAACCAAATACAAAATGAAAAAAAAAGAGAAACATGAAGAGATACAAACCCCTGCCCACTCGCCAAGGGTTTTGGCACTTGGAACCGTTACTAGATGCACATTATGATCAGCACAGAGGGCTTTGACTAGCTTGACATAGTCAGCCTGGTTGCAATCCTCAGCCAGAATGCAAAGCTGTGCTGCATGCTTCTCGATTGCCTTGGCAGCTTCGTGAAGACCACGAACAAGCCCATCATGAGCCAATGACTTCTTCATCACAAGTTGGAGAGCTGTCATCAAGTCCATGGGCTCTCCAAGAGCTGGAGCAGTTTTTTCAGGCTCTTCCCTGAGAAGCACAGGGAGAGAGTGTAAAAACGGTGTAAGAGGGCTTAAAACAACGTGTAAAGGTGAGCTCACTGCTCATGCAAGAAATTCAAATAAAAACCATGCATACCAAGAAGCAAATCGAAGGAAAAAAATCAGGAGCTAACTGATGCTTTAAAACAAAAGTAGCTTCTAAATGTGGATCGTTTATTCAGTATACAACACAGTGTTAAATGCACAGTCAAAAACCAATAATAATGATGTTGAAAATCAATAACTTATAACTTAATCAAGCTAAATATTTAACCATTATCCCTCCATAAAGTTTACTGCCAGCTCAACAACAAAACTATGCATTGCCTCATTGCATTGTTTATGAACATAACTTATTATGAGTACCATAGAAAAGTGGCAGTGCTATTGCCATCCAATTGCACTGATGACTAGATAAGCCATATGTAATCGAAGTGAACAAGTTAAAATTAAACAAAGTATGGATAAAAAAGTCACATGAAGAGAACATCCAAAAGTTGAAATCAAGAAACAAGATTAGTTATAGAGTGAAGGTTCATGACTCCACCTGTTGGTAGTACTGGCCAGCCAAAAGAACTATGTCTGCCGAGTTTGATATAGATCAAGACTAAACACCCTAGTACAAGAAGTTACAATTGTCTAACTAAGCACATCCTTTCACCAGGAAACCCAGAATAAACTTGGGCGCAAAATTACTGTTAGATGGTCTTCAGTATGGACAGTTACTGTTACTTTGGACCATGACAGATACTGCATCAATATAGTTACTTTTTTATTACTTTCCATTAGTAAAATAATTCAAATGACTCATATCATGAACATCAATTAAACCTCCAAAATCATTAAATTGCCTTATAAGGGTGCTTGGTCAAAGCATCTATGGCATAAAATTTCATTAGTTAAACAGTCCATTATTTAATTCTTAGAGTACAAGTGCTAACATCTAACTGAAGAGATGAGCTTGTTCCTCTGAAGGAACCTTTCTAATCATGACTTATTCTGAATAAGTTTTGTTTAAAACAGCTTGAATGATTCAGAAATCTCCTCCCGCCTCCATGTTTCCCTAGCTCAATATTAAAAAACCCATCTTATCGTTAGATTGTCATCTATAACATGCTTTGCACTATCAACTAAGAGTTTACTACTATATAATTCATGTCATTAATGAAAAAGAGAAGAGCAATAATTCAATCGTGAGTTATTGAGACTTAAATCTAGTCCATGTGTAGGGCTACCAATGCCCGATTCACCTAAATTATCTAGGAAGATGAATGTTTCTAAAAAAATTTTATTAAATTACACAAGCTAAGCTGAAAATAACAGACAAATTTCTCCGTGCAAAGCATGAACTATAGGCAACTGTACACATGTACATGTCTCTACTTGTCAGTATTTTCTGCGACAAGACATGCTGCACTGCATGCCGCAGAAAGAATTCCATTTCAACACTCATTCCACTTGATTGAGAAAACAACCTACCAAGAAGCATGAAATACTCAACCAAAAACCTCTTATGATCCCGATTGACTTGGTTCTAAGATGGGCAAGCTGAGAAACCATTATAGACATTACAGAACTTTACCATGGGCATTCAAGATTGAGGTGAGTCTCAATTGGTCTGTTATTACTACTTATTAGGAGCTTGAACTTTGTACAAGCAGCCAAAGTACATAGTCAAGGGAAGTGACTATGTGATAGATACAACAACAACAACAACAAAGCCATAAGTCCCAACTATTTGGGGTGACTATATGGATCTTTTGCCACCAATGAAATCTGTAAAAAACCATATGTTAAGTCCAGAGAACTTAGATCTTTATTTATAATTTCTATTAAAATCTTTTTAGGCCTTCTTCTACCTCTCTTTGTACCGATAACATTAATCATTTCACATTTTCTTACTATCACATCTAGAAATCTCTTAAATGTGTTCATACCATCTTAAATATTTTCTCATCTTATACTATATTGAAGCGATACCCAGTCGTTCACGAATAAAAATATTATTTTTCTTATCTTTCCTAATAACTCTACATATCCAACTCAACATTCTCATCATGGTAGCACAAACTTTTTGTATCTGTTATTTCTTAATTGTCTGACACTCAGATTTATAAATCATTGTTGGTTTCACAACTGTTTTATAATTTTTTTTTTTAATTTCAACGATATCTTATTATTACACAAGGCTCCTGATGCCTCTCATCAAGAGTCTCTACAAACAATATCTTCATCAATCTCTCCATCTTGTTGAATAATTGACCTCAGATACCTAAAGTTTTTTACTTAGAGGGACTTTCTATCCATCTAACTTAACAATATTCTCTCTACTATTCCTAGAATCACTAAAATTATATTTTATATATTTAATTTTAGTCCTACTTCATCTAAAACTTTTAGTTTCGAAGGCTTGCCTCCATAACTCAAGTTTATAATTAATTCCACTCAGGCTTTCATTAATTAAGATAATAAGATAAGCAAATAATATACACTAGGGAGATCAATCATGTAAATGACTAATAAGTTCATCCATTATCAATGTGAAAAAGGTAGAGACTTAATGTGGATCTTTCATGTAATTCCATACCAATAGGAAACTACTAGAGACACTTCCTATAGTCATAACACTAGCAGCAACATTAGCATACACCTTTCTTTTTTAAAACCTGCCATAAAAAATATCTAAGAACCCTATCATAGGCTTTCTCTAAATCAATAAAAACCATATACAATTTTTTTTTCTCCATATATTTATTAATTATCTTAATAAATAAATAACTGCTATAATTGATCTCGAAGCATAAAACCAAATAGATTTTCAAAGATATTTATTTCAAGCCTTACCATACTTTCAATAACGCTTTCCCAAAATTTAATAGTCTGACTCATGATTTTAATTCCTTTATAATTCGAATAATTTTGTCATCATTATTTTTATAAATTGGCATTAAAAAACTTTTTTCATTCATTAAATATCTTGTTGAATCTTATAATTTTGTTAAATAAGCTAGTTAGCTAAGTTACTCACTTGTCCCATATAACTTTTTAAACCTTAATAAGGATGCTATCAGGCTTCACATTCTTAACTATTTTTATCTTCTTTAATGAGTATTTTATTTCACTAATTCTAATTTTATGAACAAATCTATGATTATTAAATCTATCATTATTATTTATCATTAAATTTAAATCATGTCTACAATATTTATTAAATAATTTATAAAAATAACTTTTTCATCTTTCCTTAATCTCTTTATCATTAAGGAGTATTCTTTGATCTTCACCTCTAATGCATTTAATATTACCTAAATCCTTACACTTTATTTCCTTAGCTTTAGCAATTCAATGTATAGTTTCTTCCCCATCTTTAATACCTAATTTATTATAAAAAATATCATAGGCTTTATATTTTATTATACTAACCACTTTTTAACCTCTTTTTTAGATTCTTCACATGTTTAAAATTTTCTCATTTTTATAATTTTTCCAATCTTTAAAACATTATCGTTTTGTAAAAATTACATTTTAAACTTCCTTCTTATCATGCGATCAATCTTAAAACTCCATACATGAGGAAGATACCTAAGCAAAACCAATTGATAGAAACAAAGGACTCATATCACGGCCATTCTAACCCCGATGAGATGAATACTCCACCTCTATACATGAATAGGATCCTAAACAAAATCAATTGATAGACACAAAGGACTCACATCATGGCCATTCTAAGCCTTAAAAGATGAACATATTTGATAGAAATTTATAGTGTAAATATAATACAACTAGAAACCCCCGATTTCGTACAAGAATTCAGCTTATTACGAAAAAGTTGAAACATCATGTATCTGAACAAAAAAAAAGAGGAAAAGCAAAATGTCTTTCACGGTTGTCGAAATAGAACGGAAGAACAAAGTGGGGGTAATGGATTACTTACGCGGCCATCTCTTGACAGACGAGCTCGACCTGAAGAACAAGAAAAAAAAAAGAAAAAGGAATCGTAAGAACAAGAGGGAATGGTTCGAAGGAGACGATGAGGATAAGACGGGAGGCGGGGGTGGCGCCACAAACCTGAGATGAGATGCCCGGGTTGTAGGATTAGGGTTTCGGGATGGCGAGGCGGAAGGCGAGGTTGCGGTCGTTTATATATATACATATGGGAAGGTGGTTTCCCCTGACCCGCTTTTTGGGTTGGGCGGAACCCAACATGACCCATGTGGGTTCGGATTATCCGAACCACTTGAAGTTTGGGCTCGCCGGTTCCCTGATCGATTGCGTCGGACGACTTGGGTCCGGTGACGTAGAGGAAGAACGGCAGGCACTCGCGCATACATACGTACGCCCATTATCTTGGCGTGTCACGGACAGTTCTGCTAAGCTTTTGATAGCCGAAACATCATGGGATCACATGACATCAATATTCTGATGAGACGAGGAAAACCTACAGCATGATATCAATTAAATGCAGACAATTATAGGAAACATAAAGAAGATGATGCGGGCTTTATTATTCGAACTAACATCGATGTGCATTTTTTCAGAATATATCGATCATCTATACTTAGCTCACAAGCACCAAAGATGGGTTAGAACGTAAATCATATAAGTCTGTCATATAACCAGAAAAAGAAATAAAAAAGGTCGCATCACTATCCGAAGCGAGCGTTACCATGGGTACAACAGTAGTCCTATGTTTCAATATGATCAACAACCATTTTTAACACCGTTTAGCATCAAAGGGTACAACAAAGAAACAAAAAAGAACAAAATAGGAGTGAGCAGCTACATGCCAATGATATTATTGGCACCAATCAATTTCAACAACTTCCACGCACGGCGAGAAAACATGAAGACAAGTTGCCAGTGCCTCCTTATGTTAGATTGGCCTGTCATTTGTACAGCAGTGATAGGTCAACAGTAAATGGCAGAACAACATATCAGCCCTCGTACCATAAAAGCCTTCTCCCAAGATGTACAGGGCTCTGCAGTTTTTACAGCGAGCAACAATGTCCAGGTTACCATCTGAATGGAGCAACCATCATTGGATCAATATAGAGCTGGAGTTGTCCATCTTGAACTCACTTCCCCACATTGTCAGAAGTCCTCTCATGTTCTGAATCTTCAGCAGCAGATTCATGTCCAAGTGGCTCCGAACTTAAACCAGCGTAGGTGATTTGAGGAGATCCAGGTGAGTCCCCACATAGATTACACTTACTGGACTCTGGTAGTTCTTCAGCAGGAACGTCAGTAGGTCCTGGTGATCCACCTTCATCCACATCTGGTCTCTCTGTTTCTGCGTCTCCAGATGAAGGCTGACAATCATCTGTACTAGGTGTAACTTCATTATCCACATCTTTCTCCATCTCAAACTGACCATTCGGAATATCTGCAGTTGGATTTATACCAGCTATGTCAGACCCCAGCGTCTCTCTCCATTCAACCCACCCTGGTGGTTTCTCATCCTCACTTATACTTGAGTCACTAGTGCCCTCTTTGGGCTCATTGATACGACCATTCTCTGAGACAGTAGCCTGAGTTTCTCCTGAAGTGGTTCCTAGAACTGTCGCTTGCAAAGATGTTCCCATGTCATTTAGATCTTTGTTATCACCAATAACCACCTCATCGGGCTCATCTACATCAGGTGATTTCTCATTTGAATTCGGTGACGATGAAGTAGGAGAATCTGTTAGACGATCGTTGACCCCTCTATCATTTTCAAAAGCAAACCAGTTGGAATTTGTGAAGATGGAACTGCACAAGCCAGAGAATTTCAATCAGCTTGATCAACCAAGTGGTTGGCGGGCGGACATATCAGGGATGTTCACAAAAATTGCAACTACCTGTCCTGGTCATCCCCCAGACGCAAAGACGAAATGACAACTTCTGCAGATTCATCATCAAAGTAAACATCCTGCAAAAATTATCCAATATCTAAATGCCTTTGGACCAGATGAATACAAACTCAACTATATGGTTGAAGAGCACTGACAAGTTCACCATGTCCTACCTCATCCAGATTTGGATAATAGCATGAGAAGTGAAATAGTAGAAAATCAAGTGAAACCTTCATGTAATTGGCATATCAAATAGAATCAAGAAAATAAAAAGAAACAGCTTATTTCTTTGAGACTGCATCCAACCAACACCCCAAGGTTTATGACCCAACAGTTACCCATTCCATCACTAGAAAACCTTTCGAAAATTGACAACAAAAACAAAAAGTATTAACTGTGACATTGTACCATACCTCATCATCATCCCGTTCAAAAGATCCTTGAGCCTGCACCCAGCAGCCAAAAACATTGATAAATTATCAATAACAACGAATCCAGATAGTATATACACAACCCTGTGTCTTGAGATAATTTTTTATCATTTAACTATTGTGGGAATGGTGAAAATCAGGTTTGCAAATATCTTTGATGTTACCAAATCATTAAGCATAATTAATGTCTCACAATGTCAGCTCTAACAAAACAAGAAAGGTGTTTGCTTCCAAGCAATCTATTTTCCAGAACTAAATAAGAATGATGTGTTTGTTTATCATGCTAGAACAGCTGTGAGTACACCTCTAATATTCTCTTACATGTTAATCAGAAAAGGACACATCCACTCCAATATTACACATGTCAAACTCAATCTTACACAACATTGCCAAGCAAGGTTTGCTTAAGCTATTGTGCACATGCTAATAATTGTTTGTTGTGGTATATATCATTCATCGTGCCATGCAGTTATCAAGCCAGTAATAAGACCAGAAAGGATTGCTGAAGCTAATCCTTAATCAAGCCACTCATATCACACATGTCAAACTTAATTTTACACAATATTGCCAAGCAAGGATTGCTGAAGCTATTGTGCACATGCTAATAATTGTTTCTAGTGGTATGTATCACTCATCGGGCCATGCAGTTATGAAGCCAGTCATAAGACCAGCAATTACTCAAATTTTGATATGGGCAATACATGGCTTGCATCAGAAGCATATTGGACTAGATGTATTCCTATTCCAAGGGCATGCTGAAACACTGCAGGAATTGTGTCAACCCAAGCCCATCACCACCTTGGACTGTAGCAAGTAACGTGCAGCCTTTGATCACCGCACACAGTGTGATAAGTGAAATTTAAAGGTATATCAAATCAAACCAAACTTACTGCAGATAGTCTGAAAAAAGAAATGATTCACAGATGAAACTTAACAGTAAGCAAGCAAAAACAATATTTTTAATAACATAGACGGTTCAGGTGCATCCTTATGTTACCTCTTCAATATCATCATTAGTATAAATCCCCAATCGAAATGCCTGACTCAAATTATTAGCCAGTGCTGCCACATCAAAATCCCTGTCTCGGAAGTCCTCATCATCACTATCCCTAACTCGGTCCTGTAGTGTAGTTGGACGCCTAATAAATAGTGAAAACCATTTTAATCCATGGAATATCCAACAAGGTGTAGATGGTCACAAATGTAAAAAGTTCTTAGTCTGTACAAATAGCATAACTTTTATTAAATAATTTAGTGCAGCATAAAGTTGGGAATGGTTCTGTAAAAACAATGGTACAAAATTTCAAATATGTTACTAAATCACTGAGCAAGCAATCAGTTTACATAATTCAAGTATTTGAATAAATCATACCTAAAAGAGAAAAACAATGGAGATTATTAAGGAAGCTCTAATGCTTTGACAAATTGTCATGTAAAGATGAACTAAGTTCAATTACTGTAGGTCATCAATCAAGTGAACTATCCTAGAAAATTCTAATTTTCTGAATATCTGCCTGTTTCCAGCCTTGGACAGCTTAAAATACCAGTATCCAGATATATGCATGAAAATAAGTATATAATACTGCAATATATGAGATAACCAAGTTCCAAAATATTCCGCAAGAGCATGTTCATTCTGATTTTTTTAGTATAGGATGCACCAAAGGTTTTAAAAAATGGTACTAATATTATGTAAGCACTCAATCCATTATATATAAAACAACTACAATCATGGCTTTGATCGTAATATGACAAATGATGATACATTTAAACCAATTCCTATGCATAACCATCCTATATAATTAACTAATAGAAGGAAAAAGCTATATATGCTCTAACTGCCATAATTAGCCAAAACTGTGGCCTTATCAAGATTTACGTGGAAACAAACCCATTTGGCACAGAAGGTGGTACGAAGAAAAAACTTAAATAGTAACTGATACTACCTCTATGGTCTAGTTGTGGTGCTTGGTCGAACTAGCAAATACCAGGTTGTGGTGCTTGGTTGAACTAGCAAATACCAGGCAATACATACAAGTCCAACCAATATTTGAAAATTTCAATGGAATATATAAAATTTTAAAGTCAAATATGCATCCCCAAAATTCTAAAAACTGCCTTTTGCAACTAAAAGTTTGGCAATTAAACCCTTCAAAGGCTGGCATCCAAGTAACTACAAGTGAAGGAGAGATATAGTTACCCTAGGAGATCAACAATGGCAAAGATCTAAATTGAAATGATCATATTCACCATATATAACAAAGATGAGAATGCAAAGAATAGTCAAATTTGTTGCACTGTGGACATCTACCAAGCAAAAGAATGTTCCCCCCTAATAAAAATATATAGAGAAAAACGACAACAATAAAATGAGATAATTTTATGTTAAAAACTTAAAAAGTTAAAACCCATCCATAGAAACTTTAAAATGAAAACAACCATAAAATAACAAAGTATACAAAACCCAGAATTTAAGAGAGCATGTTGGACACTGAAAACTCTCACTATCCTACTACATGAATAGTTCTTTTGCTATCAACTGCATATTCTATAGACTCATCATTCATAAAAAAGGAAGTAAACTGAACTCAGAAACCATATTAGGTTGTAGTCTCAAATGAACAAAAACAAAATCTACAGAAAAGCAACACATGGAAAAAAAATAAAGGTTAAGCATCTTAGTGTGACCATTTAAACCCTGAAATAACCTACCCACAAGCCCATTGATGTACATTTTCTACAGAATTCCGCTTGAGCAAGACATTGCTATGCCAATCAACCCAATCACTATTTTCCTGCAGGTAAGACCAGGCCATAAGAATGAGTGTTTATACAATGAAGTATAGCATCAGAAGCAAAGGTAATTAATACAATTACAAGCTTTGAAATTTAATTGAAGTACAATCTGCAGAAAAGTAAGAAAGGAATAGTCCTAAAGTGCATGCAAGTAGCAAGATTGTCTTCAGAACTTGGACAGCAAGAGTATCCAATCATAACAGGAAGTAATGTAATAGAGTAAAAAGTGTATATAGACTCATAGAAAAGAAGTTAGGCAAACGATAAACCAATCAAGATAAGGATGTCCAAACCAAGGTTTACAGTTTCGAATAATACTGCCCGGTTCGGGCGGTATGTACTGGCCCGACAGCAAACCAGTACGCGGACCACCCGCTACCGGGCAGAACGCTTAATATCGCCCCGTATCGGATGATATGGGGGCGGTAACGGTCGAAATTTCAACTGTTACCGATCAGTAACAGTGCTCCAATGGTCAACTCATAGGTTTTTAAACTCTTTTTCTCCCCTATTTCACTCCATTTCATTCTCATGCTCTCTTAAACTATCTCAAACTCTTTTTTTCTCATATTTGAGCTCTATTAAACTCTACAAAACAACAATTTGTGAATTGAATCGAGACTAATTTGGGAAGATTAAGAGGAAGAACTTTCTAATGAAGAGGTATGTATTCTCTTTCTTTAATTAAAGAGTGAGAGTAATTAAGATCTTTAATATTATGATTAGTGTGTTTAATTGATTAATTCAAAATTAGATACTTAATAGGTCAAATATTTATATTTCATGCATATTAATTATTGAAAGATATTTATGATAGTAAAATAAGTTTAATTAGGTTTTATTAAAGTTATTGAATGCTGTGATTAATCATTTTAATGATAATTTAATCAAAATTTGATCGATTTTATGTCAATTCAATATCTTTAATATCTATTAGGGTGTTTGACATGTTTATAATGTTGAAAGATAATCAATTAGTGAGTAATTAACTATATTAATCATGTAATTAGTGTATCTAACGATGATTTCATCATAATTTGAACTATATTGGATCAAATTATGTATTTAATGCTTCTTTTATGTGTTTGACATATTTATGATGGTAAACTAGGTTTAATTAGGTTAATTAGGTTTTATTAAAGTTATTTAAGGCTGCGATTAGTCATTTTAATGATGATTTAATCAAAATTTGATCGATTTTAGGTCAATTTAATGTCTTTAATACCTATTAGGGTGTTTGATATATTTATAGTGTTGAAAGAGAAATTTATGCCTCAGGAGCTGCCTCGGACAAATGTGATTCATGACGATCAGCCTACGATCATCACCACATTGATGCACCAATGACATACGATATATCAATACACTATGTTGTAAGATCAATTTCATGATTGAGTCCAACAGACATATCATATTGAAATGCAAATGTATAGGATCGAGGACCCCAATCCACCACCTGTGGAGGCCTGTCGTTCGTTTTGGTGGTAGGATCAACAATTAGGTATATCTACATATATGATTATTTAATTCATTTGAAATTTAGAGTTTATATTGTAACAAAATAGTTTAACAATTCAAATAATTTTTCTGTAGATATTTCAATATTTACAGAAGGACAATCCGTAACGGACTGAAATACGAACCTTGCACAAGACTATTTCTCAAAGTCTGAAAAAGATATGTGATACTATTCTTACCTAATTTACATTAATTTTGCTAAACTTATACTATTACTATATTTATTTCTAACTTAAAAACTCTATCCTAACTTTTTTTTATTTTCGAAGGATTTTACGCCTAAATTAGGTGTACCACTCGGTACGCCCTAGTGTACTACTGGATACACGGTACCATACCATACCAAACCAAGCTCGAAACATCAAAACGGTACGATATTTCAATCCTTGGTCCAAACACTAAAGTTTTCATTATAAAAAACCTTTGAATGACAGGTAAAGCTTCTAACTGCCGCATCAAACAAAGTCCACATTACACCCAATTTTTTCATCAATTTGGCTTTTAAATTTGACCATGATAAATTTCAATATGTTTACAAACCATACTTCTATTAAAATTAAGAAAGTCGACTGACCTGCAAGTGTGTCTGGATTATGCTCCTGTTATTTCCCAAGTGAACAAGCTTGTTTGCAATGCGTGTCATGTGACCTATATTTCCTATTCTTGGAGGTATCCGTCCCTCTGCAGACACTGTAGCCTACAATGAAATTTTAAACTTGCAAGGTTGTTAAAGATCATCCTGATGTTATCTTTAAGAAAGAGAACAAATGAATAGTATACAAAACAAAGTTAACTTGGGGACTGAGGCACACATATAGAACATGACGAAACATAATCTTAAGAATTCTAGTAGCAAACTGTTATATTATCTAGAACAACTAAGGTATTATACAAACTCCATACCTTAAAAGAATCAGTTGACAAGTAAGGCTGCTTTTCTGCCGCAAGAATTTTGCCAACAACGTCACAATCATTCAAAATATGTTCGATTAATAGAGTCCTCTTACTCTCTAAGCACGATCCTATAACATTCTCGACATGATGATGCAAAAAACTATTGAAAGGGTACCTACAATTTCCATGAAGTTTCAATGCTATAAATTTTAGTGATAAGGTCAATAGTTGACCAAATAAAGTCATTCAGATGCGCTACTTACTCAAAAAACAAATCTATGACATGCTTTATTACTCCCAGCCGGATCAATTCTTTTTCAACAGCTTCACTACCGATTGTCAACAAAACAGAGATGAACTCCACAATCTGAAAACAAAAAAAAAGACCATTTTAAACTATTATTAGCATGAAGACATCATGAAAATTTTGGGTCAAGTTAATCCCACATAACATGAGCAAGTACTTCAATGCATTATTTAAACATTAATAAATCTAGAAAAGTCATTCCGTACTTCTGAAGATATATGCAGCCCAAATGGTAAGCCATCATCATCATCATAAGGCATAAACTACATGAATTTGGCATGTCATTTGAACTTTTAGGCAATAAAGCATATATCAACATATTAACAAATAATTATGCATTTTCAGACAATTAAAGTGTTTTTAGTTATGTAATAAATGCCAAATTAATATGGTGCCTATAACATGAGATAAATATTATATCTTGTTCTAAGTTAGATATCCAAAAACTACAAGTTTACACTAAAAAGGACATTATGTATTCATTAACTTTGGCAAATATAAACTCATAAACACAATCAAACTTCACACAATACCTTCAAACGTTGTTTCCCAAGAGGAGGCTGTAGTTTACCATATGTGGCCGGTAAGTCACTATCCGATGAAGTAATATCCAACAATTTCAGTAAATCACCTGTTTCATGTTTGAATGAATAGAAAAGCAAATACAGAAGCTGATATAGAGAACACCAAAGTTATAAACAATTATAGAAAACTTCACATAGAAACTTTTAAAGACTACTACCAAGAAAAACACAAAAAAAATAAATTCAGTATAATACTTTACTATCAAAATGAAAGTTGAGACAGACAACAAAGAATGCAATGCATGACTACATTTGTGCTTGATACCATAAAAATATATACCCATAACAATATTTAGAAGTCTTATGAGATGAACTTCGACTTTAGTCTCAAGTAAGAACTTTCAACATGTTTGAATATTTCCTACAACTGGAAGCTTTCGAGGTTTAAACTTTAAAGCACATAATAGTGTTGATGGATAAAAGATGAAAAATTAGAATGAAGTGTAATGAAATGTCAGCAATTATGTGCTTAAAAAAGTACAGGTAAGAAATAGAAAATCAGGTAATAATTAGGAAATCATCACTTCCTAGTGATCGTCCGTGAGTAAGAATAAAAAAAATAGAAATCTCATGTAGAAAAATAATTATAATGAAGTTGAAGTTCGATATATAGTAATTGAATCATGGTCTTCAAAATCTTATTAAACCTAGTGGATTTAATAAGCTACTACTATTGTATTGAAGCCAATGTAATTGTAAACATTCATAGGTCCAAAAGAATAAATCAGAATCTGTTGTGTAGTATTCGAGCACTTATCTTTGTGATGAAAAGTATTGCAAGCACACACATTGTTAGGAGGAACCCCACTCCATTTCTGTTTGGCCTTCCTCAATGGCCTTTGGACTAGGGAAAATAATCTATCCTTTTACTGTCAAAACCAATGCTAGGTTTTGACTTTACTGGTGGCAATAGCATTAGATAGCTGTCCAAACCAATGATGGGTTTGACTTTACTGTCAAAATGTTAGAACCCTTGCAGATTCTAAACTTGGGGTTGATCTCTTTAGGGGATCGGCCTCCTTGGAACTCTATAGGGGTTCCTCCCTTCAAGTTGCTGCTCAAAGGCTGCAGAAAAGATTCATCTATTGCTTATGAAAAGAGAAGGAATACATGGCTATTTATAGGGCTTCTAAACTCTAACTCCTAATAGGACTCCTACTTAAGACTCTTACTTCTAGCCAACTCCTAGTAGGACTCCTAGTCAAGACTCCTATTCCCTTACAACTCCTAATTCTTCTCTAAGAAAACACCTCCTACATGAATGCCCCTCTCAATTAGGACTCTCCTAGCTAGAGTCCTAACAGAAAGTCCCTCTCAATTAGGACTCTCCTAGCTAGAGTCCTAACATAAAGTCCCTCTCAATTAGGACTCTCCTAGCTAGAGTCCTAACAGTTTTATATGAATGTCCCTCACAATTAGGACTCTCCAAGCTAGAGTCCTAACAGACCCGCCCTCTTCAAATCAGCCTTGTCCTCGAGGCTGATAATTCGTGAATTCTGGGAATTTGATCTTCAAGTCGTCATAGTTCTCCCAAGTGGCATCTTCTATTGGTAGGTTCGCCCACTGTATTAGCACTTCATTAGTGGGTCATCGTCGTCGAGTCACGATCCGTCGATCAATAATGGCACTTGGCTGGGTCTGGAGTTCTCTTTGGGTAGTCATATTTGGTGGGTGGCTTTGGGCTGTCTCCAAGCACCTATTTAAAACTTTCGTCTGGCCGTCGGTTTGTAGGTGATATATCATACTCCTTTTCAATTTAGTACCCTGCATATGGAATAACTGTCCAAAATCTGCTTGTGAAGATGCAAGTAGAATTTATCGTAAGCACAATGCGTCCCTTATAGTGTAATTCTTTTGAATCCCAATTGTAATGAGCCATGGGGCTTGGTGCTTCCTCCAATTTTTTTATAATCTTACTAGTCTCTGAATCTTCTTGTCATTCCATCTTAATATCCGTAAGAAAGTCGTTGGTCGGAAGTGAAACGGCCGAAACTTCAACTTGCTCGGGTAGCTGCGAAAGCGCATCTGCAAGAACATTCTCTTTCCCCTTTTTGTAAGTTATTTGATAATCAAATCCAAGAAGTTTTATTACCCTTTTTTGTTGCTCAGGGGATGATATTTTTCGCTCCAAAAAGTAC